CAGGAGCGGGGCCGGGCTGGCGGCGAGGGGTCGCCCGTCACCCCGCGGGAAGCCTCCCCGCTGCCGGAGGGGGGCCCCGGGGCCGCAGCGGCGGTGTCCGGGCTGGGTACGGCTCTGCAGCCGCGGCGCGCTCCTCGCGGCGGGCGGCGAGATGCCTGCGGAGCTCGGGCTCCGTTTCGGGCCGTTACCGTGGGTTTTGGGGGGAATTTCGGGGGTTTTGTGGGTTGAGGCCCAGCAGCGGTGGGTGCCGGAGCCTCGGCAGGGCCCCCGGTGTCCGTCCCCCCGAGGGACAGCCGTGCCCCCCGGCCGCTCGCTCGGGAGCGGGTCCCGGGGCACCGGGAGAGGGGTCGGGAGAAGCGGCTTCCCGGCTCCTCTGCCGGGGCATTTGCTCAACGAAGGGCTTCTTCGTTTGGTAGAGAATAAAAACCCCCACGTATGAATTCCCAAATAACACAAATCCTGGAAGAAAATTTACTGCCTTTGGAAGTGGGAATAAATGTAACAAGACTTAGTGCCAAATAGGCCCTTCTTTTTTCTTTTTTTTTTTCTTTCTTTCTTTTTTCTTTTTTTTTTCTTCTTTCTTTTTTCTTTTTTTTTTCCCTAAAAATTAAAAGCACTGCAAAATCAGAGCTAACGGGCAATACAATCTGCGTCTGCCTCATCCCTTGTCGGGTGAGCTCCGTGGTTTCGGCAGCACCCGTCCCACACTGACAGCAGGGCCACCCCCTAAGAACCAGCCATTCCCTCACCCTAGGAGAAGCAGTGGGAATGAGTGTGAAAGGCCAACTGTCTTCTCCTCCCTGCTGTTGGAAAATGTATATTCAAAGTGTGAATTAGGACATGAAGGCAGCAAGGGACGGGCAGGGGCAGGCTGCTGCTCGGCTTCACTTGGTCTGATCTTCAGCTCTGAGCGGAGCAGTCCCCGTGGACTCATTGCAGAGGAGGTTTTGTTGTTGATCCCGCTTCTGTGGCTGCGGAAGGGCCAGTGCTGGTGTTGGGGAAACACAGCTGGTAAGAGGAGTGGGAATATCTATCTCTTGGGAGCCACGTGGATTTAAATTAGTGTAAGATGATTATGAAACTGCACCCTGGAATCTTAACGCAATTTCTGTTACATCAGTTCTCTCTCCAGGTTGGGGCAATAGGAAATAAAGTACTGACTTCAAGTTGAAAAAATATTTACAACGTGAGGTTTTTGTGTTTGTTTTTTCCTACTCATTTCAGTGAAGTCTGCAACTACTGGGGTTTTGGGTCCTAGCTTAACTTTTTTCTTCTTCTTCTTTTAATGTGCTGAAGGTTGGAGTGAGAGGGAAGGACATTGTTGTGCTTGGTGTGGAAAAGAAGTCTGTGGCAAAACTTCAGGATGAAAGAACCGTGCGGAAGATCTGTGCCCTGGACGACAATGTCTGCATGGCTTTTGCAGGTACCTGAGCCCTTCGGGGGGGTTGGCAGTTATTGGGGCACCTTCGGGTATGTTTCTGGGTTCTGAGAACATAAAATAATGAGCAGAACTGGCCGAGGACTGTGGGGAAGGAGTGTATTTCCACCATGTGAAGTCTGCAACTACTGGGGTTTTGGGTCCTAGCTTAACTTTTTTCTTCTTCTTCTTTTAATGTGCTGAAGGTTGGAGTGAGAGGGAAGGACATTGTTGTGCTTGGTGTGGAAAAGAAGTCTGTGGCAAAACTTCAGGATGAAAGAACCGTGCGGAAGATCTGTGCCCTGGACGACAATGTCTGCATGGCTTTTGCAGGTACCTGAGCCCTTCGGGGGGGTTGGCAGTTATTGGGGCACCTTCGGGTATGTTTCTGGGTTCTGAGAACATAAAATAATGAGCAGAACTGGCCGAGGACTGTGGGGAAGGAGTGTATTTCCACCATTGCTTATTCTTTTTTAAATCAGAGTTGCCTACTGTATGGATAAATACAGAGAGAGCCAGTGGTCTGGTGAGAGGAAACACACGTTAAAGTTACTGAGGTCCTCTAGGCTCAATGTGAGGATGAAAACTCTTATTGGCACCTCTTTAAATCTGTATAGACGTATATGCTTATTTACTATATATATTTAGTTCAGATATTTTATGTATTTAAAATTAAATTATTTAAAATTTAATATATTATATATAATATACCTATTATTAATACATATTACAGGTGTATAAGAGACATTTGTCAGTTATGGGGACCTTTTCCCACATGCATCAAGCCAAAAAAGCTACATTTTGCAGTCTTGCATAAACCAAAGAAAAATCTCCTCCGTTCTAGTTCAGAAGACTCTTTTTGAATGGACAGCTCTGGATTGTAAATATTCTAATTCCACATTCTTCCTTGTCCAAATGCCTTAGTTTCCATTGTTCAAAGCTTGAAAGGAGGTGTGAAAGTTTAAAAAAAAAAAGACGTGAATGGAGAGAAGATGTATTCTAGAAGGTTTCTCCTCTCTCCAAGTAATTTAGAATCCTTGTGTCAGTGTTGGAGCTGATTTAACCAGCAAAACCAGTGGATTTCAGCGTCGGTGTGCTGCTTTGCTGCCCCAGCTGAGGGCTGTGGTACGTGTGGGTGGGCTCACAGCCTTGGAGAAAAGTTCTCTACCAGAAACAAGGCTGTAAATTGAAAATGGCATCATAAGATACAAGAAATAAGTTTCTTTTAAATGTTTTTTCAGGGCTGACAGCTGATGCCAGGATCGTTATAAACCGGGCGCGGGTGGAGTGTCAGAGCCACCGGCTGACGGTGGAGGATCCGGTCACGGTGGAGTACATCACGCGCTACATCGCCAGCCTCAAACAGGTACCTCAGTGGTTTTTTTTTTTTTAAGGGTGGTGCTCATTTTTGAGTATTTCTGAGAGTAGGCTGTCGTTTCAGGGCTGACAGCTGATGCCAGGATCGTTATAAACCGGGCGCGGGTGGAGTGTCAGAGCCACCGGCTGACGGTGGAGGATCCGGTCACGGTGGAGTACATCACGCGCTACATCGCCAGCCTCAAACAGGTACCTCACACACCTCCCCTGTGTCAAACCTCTGGTCTGGTCTTCTTCTACTCAGATGGTCAAAATCAGCATTAACAGACCACATTGCGGGTGTTTACTGGAGATAGGGGTGTAGTAATGGGAAAGGAGGATTGATCACCATTTGGTTTTCTTCCCAGTGATGAAGAAATTAATTAGTACTTGTAAGGGCTGCGTAACTCCGTTCGTGATACCATCAGGAACACGCTGCTGATCTGCAGCTCCACTTCACCCTCGGAAGGATGGGGCTGTTCCTGTTGAAACATCTTGGTTGCTCCTGTCCCTTTTCCCTCCCACCGAGCCGCTGCAGGGAGGGCTGCGAGGGGAGCAAATCACTGCAGGATTTAACAGATTTACAGCTGATATTCATGAATTTAAAATGGAAGTGCGGGGTCAAAGTATGCCCATCTGCATTCTGTGATAAAATTATTCATTTGCCAGTGTATTAAAGTGATTTTCAGAAACTAGTGGGGACTAGAAAAAGTCTAATTTACTTGTGTGCAGACGTGTCGGTGCAGTGACGGTGATAATAGTGTCACTCTGGTGATAATAGTGTCACTCTGTAATAATCCCTCACCCACCAGAGCAGGACAGCACTTCCCAAAGTTTCAGCTTTTTCCTCTACAGTAACCTCACGTCTGCGTGTCTTGTCCTGGGACACTGACCATTTCTTTAAAACTTAAAACCCACGAGTGTCACAGGGCGTTGGTGCTGCGGGGACCCTGCTGGTGCCCGGCCTCCCCCTTCCCGGGGCTGCTGCTGGGCGAGGAGGCAGCGGGAGGGCTGGGACACTGGCTTTCCTGGAGCCTCTTTCTGTGATTTCTGATGGATTTGTTACAAATCCTTGGTTTGTGACTTCGTGTTTGGGTGATAAAAGAGCCCGCTAAAAATATTCCTGGTGGCTTCTCTGGTTGTAACTTCTAGAGTGTGTTTTCTGCCCTAAAAACTGCTGCTGAAACAAGCCTCTCCTCTTTCTGTGCAGAGATACACACAGAGCAACGGGCGCAGGCCCTTCGGCATCTCCGCTCTCATCGTGGGGTTTGACTTCGACGGGACCCCGCGGCTGTACCAGACCGACCCCTCCGGCACCTACCACGCCTGGAAGGTGAGCTCCTCTCCCCGGGGGGATGCAGGGAGGTGTTTGTGAGTTCAGGTCTCCTCGAGGGAGGGGCTGGTGTGGAAAGGGGATCTCGCTGCCCAGATGGTGCTGGCTCACAGCTGCACAAATCCTTCCCCAGCACGTTTCCTGGGCATGGCAGCCTGCAGTGCAGCTTCACTCAGGAAAGCTTGTCCCGTTTTCTCCCCCACCAAAAAAACCCAACCCACCACCTGTCCCTGACAGCTGTCTGTGTGACATGTGGGAGGGACATGTTCAGTCTCCTGAAAAATACGTGGTGATCCCAAAATGGTTTCAGATTGTGTATTTGCACCCCGTGGATCAGTACAGGCTGGGGGTGACCTGCTGGAGAGCAGCTCTGAGGGAAAAGACCTGGGAGTCCTGGTGGACAACAGGATGCCCATGGGCCAGCAGTGGGCACTTGTGGCCAAGAAGGCCAGTGGCATCCTGGGGGTCATCAGGAGGAGTGTAAGCAGCAGGTGGAGGGAGGTCATCCTGCCCCTCTGCTCTGCCCTGGGGAGGCCCCAGCTGGAGCACTGGGACCAGTTCTGGGCTCCCCAGTTCCAGAAGGACAGGGAACTGCTGGAGAGGGGACAAAGATGCTGAGGGGCCTGGAGCATCTCTTGTACAAGGAGAGGCTGAGGGACTTGGGTCTGTTTAGTCTGGAGAAGAGAAGGCTGAGGGGGGATCTGATCAACGCCTGTAAATACTGAAAGGGTGGGTGTCAGGAGGATGGGGCCAGTCTTTTTTCAGTGGTGCCCAGGGACAGGACAAGAGGAAATGGGCACAAACTGGAACATAAGAAGTTCCATCTAAACGTGAGCAGGAACTTCTTTGCTGTGAGGGTGGCAGAGCCCTGGCAGAGGCTGCCCAGGGAGGTGGTGGAGTCTCCTTCTCTGGAGACATTCAAACCCACCTGGACACGTTCCTGTGGGACCTGCTCTGGCAGAGGTTTGGAGGAGATGATCTCCAGAGGTCCCTTCCAGCCCCGTACCATTCTGTGATTTGCACAACTCTTATTTCTTGCTTGTTCTCTAAATGAAGCATTTTCCAAACTGCCATTCGTTACCTCCCTCTGTTCCCAGGCTAATGCCATTGGCAGGGGAGCCAAATCCGTGCGGGAATTCCTGGAGAAGAACTACACTGACGAGGCCATCGAGACGGATGATCTCACCATTAAACTCGTCATCAAGGCTCTCCTGGAGGTGGGTCTGGCTCCCAGCCCTCCTGGGGCTTCTCACTGCCTCTGGATTCGCGCTGCGACGGGGGCGCAGGAAAAGCTCCCCTCCTGTCACAGGGACACACGGGGAGAGGGTGGAAGGGGCTGCCCAGGGAGGGGGTTGAGTCCCCATCCCTGAGTGTGTTGAAGAGTCGTTAGATGCGGTGTTGGGGGATACGGTGTAGGGGTTGGTGGTTGGACTCAATCATCCCAAGGGTCTTTTCCAACCTGAGTGATTGTGTGATCTGTGGGAGGGGGTTGGTGAGGGCTGGGGTTGACTTTGAGGTTCAGAGTAATTCAGGAACAGTTTCTGTAGCTCACACAGAAGAAATTCTCTCTGGGAAGGAAAACAGACTTCAGTTCTGGGCATGAAAACAAACGCACCAAAGATGTGCTGAGCCACATGCAGAATATTTCACTGTTGCACTGAACTTAGGGCTCAGAAGGTGCCCCAGGTGAGGGGTGGGGGAGGCGCTGCCCAGGGAGAGCCTTGTCTTTGGGGGTCCCATGAGCTTAGAGCTGATGAGTGAAATACTCCCCAACTCTTCTAAGACGACCTGGAAGGGGTTTGTTAGAATTCAATTAGTGGAGATGCTGCTAATGACCGTGTCTGCCTCCTGTTAAGGTTGTGCAGTCCGGGGGGAAGAACATCGAGCTGGCGGTGATGAGGCGGGAGCAGCCACTGAAGGTAAGGGCTGGGCTCCCTGTCCCTGTCCCTGCTGCCCCCGCGGGTCCCTCCCGCTGCTGCTGTTCCCTCTGGGATATTCCTTGTTACTGAAGGAACGTTCTTGTGGCTGCAGGAGGTACCTGGATAAACTCCAGTTCAACTCCCTGCCCATGTCACAACTAGTTGTGTCGGTATCCGGAGGGTCACCCCTGTCTCTGTTTCAGATCCTAAACCCTGAAGAAATCGAGAAGTACGTGGCTGAAATTGAAAAAGAAAAGGAAGAAAATGAAAAGAAAAAACAGAAGAAAACATCATGATGGATCTCGCTCCTCGGCTCAGCTGCTGCTTTTTAATTGGAGTGCGGGGTTGCTCTGTGCAGGGGGAGGCACCCCCCGCCCCAGCCTGTGCCCCTCCAGACCTACAATAAAAACCTACTGAGTTGTTTTTTTTTTAAAGCCGTTATTTTAAAGGTATCTCTCTGTTCCTTGGATTATAATTCCCGGGGTGATTTGGTTGGCTGCAGCCCGGCAGTGGTGACCCATTAAAGGACAAAGACTTTATTTGCATTTTTTTCCTGGGACACTTTGGTTTATTTAATGATTCTCTCCCACCTTCTCTCACTTGTTAGTTTCTCCCTTTGTAGCTTGGTTTTTTTTTATTAAGTAGCTTCTGGGGGGTTGTGTGGTGGCCTCACCAGAACATGACAAATAGGGAATTCTGCTTTTCCTTCCCTGCCTGCCCTCTGCACCTTTAACCCCCCGGGGCACAATAAAGCGCTGCTGGTGAGATTTCCCCCTGGGGGACCTACAAATGCTAAAACTGAGGACAGGGATGGCCCAGAGAGCACAGCCCAACCCTAACGCTCTGCTCCCCCGCCTGCAGCTGGGTTTAACTGGGTGCTGTTAACTTGGTTAACTTAACCTCAGCCCCTTCTGAGAGCAGCACTGAGTGGGGCAGGATGTGCTGTGCCTCCCATTGCTGTGGCCATGGCTGTGTGGGATGTAATAAACTTAGAAATAGATAAACGTGGAGGCAGCAGGAGCCAACCCCTGCCCCGAGCTGCTTCAGAACCAGCCCCCAGGGGCTGGGAACAATGTTTGGGATGGGTACTTGGGACAGTGCTCTGGGGACAGCAGGACACGCTCTGGGGCCAGGGCTGGTCCTGGGGGGTCACAGGCAGGAGCTGCTCTGAGACACAGCCCCCTCTTGCTGCCCGAGGTGGGCACTACCCCCCCCAGCACCCACTTCCACATTAAAAAGTGTATTTTTTTTCCTTCATTTCTCTTCAACACAACCCCTCAGCAATAAAAGGCTCTGTCCACCCCATCTGTGCCCCCAGGGAAGGGGACAGGTGGTGGCTTCAGGGGTTGTGCTGCCTTTCCCCCCCAAGAGAAGCCTCCCTTTCCCTCTTCCCATCCACCCAGCCCTTGAAAGCAGCTCCCACCTCTGCTACCACCACCCGCTCTTACAGGTATTATAACACCAGACCCAGCTGGCAGCAGCACGGCCAGGGCTGGAAGTGTTCCCATCCCCTCCCTGGGACACCCCCACACTGCAGAGGGGGGCAGAGTGTGGGGGCAGAGCGTGGCTCAGGCACCAAGGCCGGGAAGGCTGCGGCACCGCGCTGTCCTGCTGCGGGAGGGCTGAGCTGGAGCAGCCGCGGGGAGGGAGGTGCTGGAAGGGGCTGTTGTTCCGTTTATCAGTCCTTGGGCTGCAGCTCTGGAGCTACAGGAGCTGTTTGTCTCCTTCCCAGGGCCGGGCTGCGCCGGGCAGGCACAGGGAGGGCAGCTCAGGGTGACAGCAACAGCAGGAGCAAACAGGTGATGGGGGGTCAGTGCCTGGATTTGGGTTTTTAAGCCCATTTCAAACACGGTGTAACTCTCTCTCCCCAGCCAGGGCAGAACTCTGCAGCACGGTTTCCTGTGAGCCCTGTGAGGAACAGGCAGCCAACACGTTGTAGGAGCCAATGGAACCAAGCTACACACAGAACCAAGCAGGAGGGCAACATGAAACATGTACATGTTTATTATAATTACAATTTACATTACTCCAAAGAGCAGCCCCACTGCTATCGTCTAATTCTTAGCAATAAAGTCCTACAAAAATAAATCCAAGCTTTTACAGTAACCTAGGTCAACGCGGAACTAAAAAAATTCTAGCTATGTAAGGGGTTCAGTCATCAAGGTGCTTTTTTTCGACAAAATTCCCTACCAACCAAAAAAGGGACACATGCCTAGAGCGATAACCCACCGCGTCATGCAAAGGAACGTCACCCCCCTCCCAGCCCCTCTCCCCACATACAGCTTTTTTTTTTAAAAACAAAAGAAAAAAACCAAAACAAACAACTAAACTATTTACAGTATGGGGGGTACAGAGGAAACAAATTAAACATGCCCATCTGTTAAATCTTCGTCACGCGGCCTCCCAGCGCCAGGTTAATGACGACATCCCATAGTGTTCACCACAGCACGAGTGCAGGGGGACCTGGTTGTGCCCGGGACGACCCCGTGCGAGGGGCAGGCGGAGGGGAGAGGTGGGGGATTGGGATCCCCCTCCCAGACAGTCACCTGCTGCCAAAACACGCTTCATTCTGAGCACACAAAGGGGGACGCTGCTCCTGTGCCCCCCCAAAAATGCTGCCCGGAGCCAGGAAGGGGCTCCCGGCCCCCCAAGAGCACCCAGCCCCCCCCACTCCAGGGAGGGTCCCTGGGTTGTGTCACCCCGCGGTGCCCCCGCGGTTACACACACCGTACAGGCATTTACACTACGACATGATCCACGATCCAGTATTCCCAAGTGACAATATCCACAACTCCTCAGCACCAGGAATCCAGCCTCCCGGGCCCCCGGCACAGCGACACCGGCAGCGCCACAGCAGCCCTTTGCTTTCCCCAACAAACAAATTAGAGCTGGTTTGTTTCAAGTGAGCTTTGGTTCCGTGTTAAAATACCATGATTTCTCTTCTTCAGGGTTCAGAAAAAGGAGTCTGACTTTAAGCTTAGACTGTAGCAGCCTTTGAGACACCCAGAAAGAAGAACCATGTAAGTTAAGTCTGCACTTAAAAAGAAAACAAAAAACAACACGCACAAACAAAAAAGACACCCTGAAGAAGGTACCCCTGAACACATTCCCTCTTCCAAAGAATATTCCAGCTGACAGTTGCTGGTCCAAAATAAGTCCAGAATATAAGCAGTAGTACATGAAGTTCTGTCGCTTGAGCTGAGACAGTAAACAAGATGAACCATTTTCCCACATTAGTGCAGCAGTTGGTTGTTTTCTTTCTATGTACAGAGTCACCCTCTGGGGAGAGATGTCAGAACCTGGTCAGGGAAAAAAAAGGCAGCATTAGGTTTGGTGAGAAACTGAGAAAAAGAAAAGCAGCAAAGTTCAGCTGATGGATGGGTGTGAAACGCCCGGCCAGAGCCCGAGCTCAGACCCACAGCTCTTGCTCTCACCGACAGAAGGGGAGCCCAAAAAAAAAAAAAAAAAAAAAAATCAAAAAAAC